GAGAGCAAAAAACAGGGCGCAAGAGAATACTGAGATCGTCTGGAGTTGCTGTGTTTCTCGTGCAGAGGGAACTTGCTGGCATTTCGGATCTGGACTGCCCGTATGGGTGGGACCAGTCTGATATGCTTCAGATATGTTCTCTCTGTAATGGCACAAGATGAGCTAAAACCATCTTGAGTTCTGAGCGGGGAAACACCGAAGGGCAGGCTATTTCTGTTGCTGTCCGTTCTCAGAATTACTTTTTTATAAAGCCTGTGGGAGACCACTTGGTTATCAACAGAGGGTTACAACTATAATTGAACCATCTACAGTTAATCCTCAATTACGTACGGTGTTGTGGTCAATTCTTTACAGAATAAGAATTCTCAAATCAGTCTTTTGTCCACACTTCAGTTAATCCTCAATTACTTACAGTGTTGTGGCCAATTCTTTACTGAATAAGAAGTCTTAAATCAGTCTTTTGAACAGAGTACGGTTCACCCTCCAAATTTTGTTTTCTCTTTGTTGCATATGCTGGATATTGTCAAAAGATCCCTCACTGTCACTATATGCTAATAAAGCCGTGTCTAAGAGATCATTTAGGATATTAAGCATTGACTTGGTTGAGATTATATCCGGTGAACCATTAGCAAGGGAATTGCTCGTTATTTTCTTTATTAGGGTAAAAGTTTACGTAAGTATTTTGTTTAACTAATGGTCTAGTACTTCACACTAGGTTTTTGTTTGGTTATTAACATATAGAACCAAGACAATAACTTTTTTTTGTGGTTCTTTACACCCCCCATTTTTGTTCTTTGTCCTTCCATTTTCCCAATCGCCCAGCAGACCCAGGTATTGTGAAAAATCTGAAAAACTGCACCAGTACCTCCTGTACTGTACATGCAATGCACTTCAGGGATTTTAAAGGAACATTCCAAGCCCCAAAACAACTTTATCTAAATTAAGTTGTTATGGTGAGAGGATGCCCCTGGAGGCACTCTTACCTCAAGGGGTTAAACCGTTCTTGAATAGTTTAACCATTAACTTGCCCCCAGCAGCGATGTCCACGTCCACACCCCCTCCCCCGAGAGGAATTCAGGCCATCACTTTATTTCTTTAATTCATCATTTTATTTATTTAATCTTTATGTCAATGCAGTGTGTCATAATGTTGCTTTATCTGCACTAACCTACAGGGCTTACAGGGTTAATTTTTCAAGTTTGATAGATCAAAATTTGTGAGTGAGTTTATGTCCGGTTCTTAGGATTCAGTCAACCATACAATTTCAAGTTTCATGGCCTATGAGTATTTGTATGTGTTTTTATTGGTAGTATGGAGCCCTTGGTCTGAATTTGTTCCATTAACTTTATTTTAATAAAACAAATCTTGGCTGAACCAAAATACACATCCAAAGATGGAATAGCTTGATCCAGCCTATGAACTGTATAGTTTGTATTAACCTTTGCAAATGAATTCATTAATCCAAGTAATTTCAGATTTTTCCTGTCACTTCATTAATTCGTCTACCTTGTTGTTGCTTTTTTGTAATTTCTTTATAGTTAAGTTCCTTCCTTTTCACTGTGTATTTCTCTCATTGATGGTCTTTGTGTTTCTTTTCATCTCTCACTCCAGCATTTTCTTGCATTTTCTATCCAACTCATCAATGAACAAATCAAGTCCTCAGTAAGCCACTGGGAGGCGCTCATGCTCCATAGTCATTCAGCTCCAAAAAAAAAAAAATTCTCAACTTCCCAACATTTTTCTTGCAGGTATTTAGCAGTTCCTGGAGGGTCAGGTGCACGCAAACTCCTTTAAAACATAAATCATCTCTTCTGCATTCTTGATAACAGACACAAATATATATTAAAAATGTTGTGATGTCTGCCCTTCAATACGCAAGACACAATGGTAAAAGGGACAGTGACGAGGAAAGAAAAGGGCCATTAAATTAAGAGGGACCTCACATAGATCAAATATCTTTAGAATGTGCTTTGAGTAATTCACTCTCCATCCGTGGGCTGATTGCATAAACATAATGTGCAGTCAGAATGTCACCCTATATAACCCAGGACTGGAATGTGACTGGGCTTGTGTGTAAAAAACAAAACTTCAATTTGGGAAACTTTGTATGTGCAAGAAGTATCAGATCTTGTCCCTGTAATCTGGAAAACAGGAGGTTACCCCATGTGCACCAGGTCGGTCTCAGGCTGCTTCTGTCTGTAAGCAATAGCAAATGTACTTGTGAGTAACCTGGAACTGTCTGATCTGATACCTATATGCTGCCTATCACATTCCTATAAATGTGTCCTCTTTGGCAAACTGTTGCTTGCAGGTTATGATTTGGATCCTTATGGAAGTGTGAATCATTGTTTAATGTGTCAGCTAATTAGTACAGATTTTCTCTCTTTCTCTCCCCCTCCCCACTTGTGTTCTCCCCCACCCTCTGTCCTTCTGTTCTAGTCTCCCTCTTACTTTCACCCTTTGTCTCTCCGTAGTGCTCACGCTCCTTCTCTCATTCTCTCTCTCCCTCCCCACTTTTCTCAGCTATCACTAATTACTCTGCCCACGGAAAACAGGATCATCTGGCACAAACCGCGCGATAAATACTTTCTGAGAAAAGGCGTCAGGAAGACGAGAGGAGATTTAACCCTCATGTTTACCACAGATATTCATTATTGCTATGGAATACAATTCTCAGGGTATCATTTATTTAATGTATATCAGTATTTTCTTATTAATCAACATTTAGCAATTCAGCATCTTTGCAGAGCTCGACAACTATATTATTGTTGTAGCGATATACTCAGCATCGTTATCAGGTATACTAGAAGTGTACAAAGATGCTCAACAGTATACAGTTTGGCGATTCATTACGAGTTGCTTAGATATACTCAGCATCCTTACTTAGTTTAACACGTGCAATCTGAGCATAAAGTCTACAGTGCCATTAATGTCAGTGTATAAATTGCATACAACAATGTTATATCCTGGTTTGGTAGGTTGGTCCAGAGCTTCTTTCAAGTAAGAGCTGCATCCAGAACCCTGGCTTGTTCACGTTATGACAACCTAGTTCATCTTCATTTGAGTATGTTGTTTTCTATTTGAAGACACATTGCAGAAAGCAGTGGCTTCAGTGGCTAGCATTGCGTTGAAGAACCAGGTTTCTCATTTACAGTCCTGCAGTGAAATCTATGACCCTCAGTAAAGTTTAAAAACATTCATCCAAAAAAAAGCTAGACAAGCAGATGGTGCCCTGTGTTATGAATTTAAGAGCCTTTAGAAATAGTTAGAGAAGTATAGAGGTGACACTAAGATTGGTGGAAGGTTGTATGGTATACCCAACCACCTGGATACGACCAATTTATCCATAATAACAAGAAGTAGGATACTAGGAATTTCTTGTCACAAAATGGGAAGAACCACAAATTAAGATGTTTTTAAGAACTGTTTTTTATGTGCCAGACAGATCTCATCTTTTTATGGATTTTGACAGCTTGACACTAAGTTTCAAACTGCAGAGGATGAATACAGTGAAACAATGCAGCACTTGATTGTAGGCCCTGATACAGCAAACCAGTCTTTGTAGGAAAAAAAACATGGAAACTCTCTAAAGGAATAGTTTGACACCAAATCTTCTGATGATTGGACACAGAATAGTCTGGAAATTCCAGATCATATGTACAAGATTTACCTTCTCAGCATACACAGAATCCACCCGCATATTCTGACAATTTTTAGAATGTCAATGCCGCATGTAATATACACATGCAAAAATGGTGCTTCCATCCCAATGGGCATGGAGCTTTTCAATGCATAGCAGTCAATTATTGGATTGTGCAACTAGTTTTGGTTATTGATTCTCCCCAGTTTTAGTTCATGTGTTGCAGCTTAGTCTTCAGATAATCCTGGTTACTATTCAATGCTTCAGTTACATATATCCAAGTTCCTGGCTCCACCTATCCAATAATTCAATAGTTTATTCTATGGGATAAACATTCACCCAATACCCAATATATTGATGATACTGACATCCCTACGTTCTGAAACTGAACACAATTAGCTTGCAGGGAGCTGTACTGAGAACCTCTTAAATGATATTTCCTCTCATCTGTGCTGTTAATTTAAGGTCTATTTAGTTTTCTTTACTCTAAAGTAGTGTACTCAAAGGAACAGGGTGGAAGTTGGAACGTCTATAAGCATTCTAGTTGTGTGGAATGCAGACAAACAGCAGATTCTTGAGGGCTCCAAGAAGGGTGAGGAACTTTCTTATTTCATCATTGTAGCATAATCAGAGAAAAAAGCCTTGTTCTAGGGGTCTAGGTTTCTGTTGATAGGTGTAGTGGCCTGTTCGAGATTTTTTTTTTTGTAAATGAAAGTTTGATTGACATTCAGCAAATGCAGGATTAAGCCAAGAAAGAAGGACAAGCAGGTCCCCAATTAGTACAGTTGTCTTTCCATTCCCCCCCCCCCTTTTTTTCTTTCCTTTCCCTCCCTTCCCTTTCTTTTTCCAATGTCTTTCCTTTTCACCTGTCTTCATTGTTTCCCTTTATTATTTGTTTTGTTTGCAATGTAGCCACGTTGTTTTAATTAACCAATGTACTCTTAAAGGTGCCAATCTGAGACAGTGCGTCAAAGAAAGTTACATACATACCATAGACAATTCAGAAAATTACAAATAAAAACTAGAAAATATAAGGTCATAACAGTAAGGCTCAGCTTCTGGTTGGAGTATGATCTTATGATCCCCTGTGGACAAGGTAAAGTTATATAGGCCGCTTAAACCTGTATGCCTCTCTTACTCACAGTGATATTCATTAAGCCATTAACTGGTATTAGTACTCCCCAGTGCCCTCCCCACAGGGCATGACTTGAACCCATTCCATTATTGGTGCTTGGGTACCTCCCCGTGCGGCCCTTTCACGGAAAGGCAACAAGCAGCATGTCGGGATAGAGCATTGGCCCCTATACTGCCTGGACCAGCGACTCGAGACCTCCCTCCCCAACTGCACTCCCATCCCCTCCTAGAGTCCCATCCGATGTCCATACATCAGCAGTCTCTGGAAGTCAGCTTGGTAAACGACCGTCAGCCAGTGCGTCCATATGTCCATATAAGTCTGATAGCAGTCTTGTGCCGCAAACGTCAGTTCCTCCAGTCGTCGGAGGTCCTCCATCTTATCAAACCACACTGTCAAGGGAGGGGGTATGTCTTTTTTCCAGAACAGAGGCAGCACTTGTTTTGCAGTATTGAATATACTAACCGTCATGGATTTTTTGTATGCCGTTGTTGGCGTGGTAGTGTGCTGTAAGAGGTAGGGGGCCAGTCGTAAAGGGGGCGGGTTGTCAGAGAATTTGTTTAAGATTTCACCTATTGCCTGCCAAAAAGGTGTTACCCTAGGGCAGGCTTCCCCAAACTCCGGCCCTCCAGATGTTGCTGAACTACAACTCCCATGATTCTCAGCCTATCTATTTAATTCATAGAATTGTGGGAGTTGTAGTTCAGCAACATCTGGAGGGCCAGAGTGTGCACCAAATGTGCAGGAACATTCCAGTGCCGGCCCCACAGCGCCAACAATAGTCTCCCAGAGCTGAATTAAAATACCTTAGAGCCTGTGGGGTCCTATACCATAAAGACAAAATATTATAGGCTGTCTCCTGAGTCTTACTGGCTAGTGCGCAGTGATGTATTAGGTCAGAAATCTTTCCCCATTGCTGGTCTGTGAAAGTTTCCCCATTACCATGTACGGGAGAGATGGGAGGTTTCTATTTTGTAACAGTAATGAATATAGATAAGATACCGCATGCAATAGTGGGCCTGGGTCATCACCTAGAGTTTCAAACAGGGTCAGTGCCCTAACCAAGTTGGGTTTTTGTGGGATGCGGTTTGTGAACTGTTTCAGTTGTTCATTCCTCAATCTCTGAAGAGAAGTGTGGTGTGCGCTATCTATAAGCTCACTAAGAGGTTTAAGTTTGGGAGATCTTCTCACAGCGATCAAACTCCTGCATTATATTGGGGATGGTCGTCTCTGGCAAGGAAACAAAGAATTTCAGGTCATCCGGATTTGCGCCCACCTTATGCGACGTGGGTCCCACTCTGAGTCCTTTGATGTCGGGGTTGTGTCTCACAGCCTGGAGGAACGGCTCAAGGGCAAGGACAAAGAGCAGCTGTGACAGCATTGTGGTGCCACTGTGGATCTCGAATGGGTCGGTGAAAGCCCTGTTGATACAGACACTTGCCGTGGGGTTATCATACAACACTGTGATCCAGGTGTACATCTTGGGTCCAATTCCCAGTGCCTGAAGAGTGCGAACGAGGAAGTCCCAGCTCACTCTGTCGAAGGCCTTCTCTGCATCTGCGGATAGTAGTAGAAGGTCCTCCCCAGTCCTCTGGACCTGATGAATCGGCACCAGTACTCTTGCAGTATTATCTCTAGCTTCGCGGTGAGGAACAAAGCCCACTTGGTCCGGTTTTACCAGCATAGGCAGGTAGGGTAACAGCCTGGTAGCCAAGATTTTAGCGAATAACTTTAAGTCGCAATTCAAAAGGGAGATTTGCCAGTTCATGCCCTCCTTGGGTATCAGTGTGATGTTAGCCGTCAGTGTCTGGGAGGGGATTCACTGACCCTGGGTGAGCGAATTGAACGCCTCCAGGAAATGTGGGAACAATATGACCATGAACAGCTCATAGTAACGTACCGTGAGCCTAGGCTCTTGCCTGGTTTCATGGCTTTGACCACTGCCGCCAATTCCTCCGTTGTCAAGGGAGCTTCAAATGCTTCAATCGCCTCTGTTGTTAATTTCGAGTGGACATTGTCCCTGAGATACGCACGTATAGACTCCGACCCCAGTTCATTCCGTGGCGAGTCTGGTATTGTTGTTTTTGACAGTTTAGTAAAGTATCCACATGCCACTACGGGTATTCTGTCAGGTAGTCACTGTGGTCGGCCTTGGGTATGCCGTAGACAGGCTATACATGACATATTTCTCTCTTTATTGGGAATGCAAGCAAGCAGTTTGTCACATTTATCGCTATTAACAAAGAAATATGCAGGGATCACTGCAGATGGTGGTGAAGGTGAGTAGCTAGTTTGTGTCTCAGGTTGACCAATTCCTTGAAGGTGGTCAAATTTTGGTTCGCCTTATGTGCCGTTTCCTGTTTTTGAATTTGATTAGTGAGCTCACTAATTTCCGCTTCCCTGTGTTTTTTCAAAACTGTGCCGCTAGCTATAAAAAATCCTGTAATGGTGCACTTGTAGGCCTCCCATACCACTGGGGCTGTAACGTCAGACGTCACATTTTCGTTAAAGTATTGTGTCAGGATGGTGGTTGTGTCTTTAAGGAGGAGCGGGTCAGAAAGGAGAGTCTCATTAAGTCGCAATGAGTAGACCAAGGTCTGAATAAAGGGGAGGATAGGGTTAGCAATACTAGGGCGTGGTCCATCCGTCATCACTCCTAAAATAAACTATAGAGCCAACGTACACCATGACATGTAACGTAAATGGGTCCGTGAAGAAAAATCTAATCGAATGCTAGCAAAATTGGAAGTCATTCCATACTCAATGTGTGGTAATGTGAGTTAGGTGCGAGAAAAAAAAAATTTAAATTTTTTTTTTAAGAATAGTCACCCTATGGATGACTCGTTGCCGCCTGGGGCACCGGGATACTCACGACACCATTCTTTGCTGGGTCAGGATTGGTCAAGTCGCCTTCTGGGTGTTGGGCGGTGTCCAGGGCAGTAGTATGAGCAAGGTCCATGAGAGCTTCCTCTAGTAGGTCTTCGTGTCCTACAGGTGCAGTCCTAGATCGTTGGTCAAAGATGTGTCTAGGCACTTCACTTCCTGAGATTTTTTTCATTTAGGCACTTCACAGAGTCTTGGCTGAGTGTAGAATAGTGTCATGCAGTGTTATCTGGGACCTGATCCGAATAGGATGGTAAGGAGGGTGGGGTGGGGGGAGAGAAAGAGTGAAAGGGGGAGAGAGAAGGAGGGGGAGGCATAGATAGAGAATACTAGGGGGGAGAGAGAGAGTGGAGAGGGGGAGAGAAGGGGAAAGAGGAAGAGAGGGGAAGATAAAGAAAGGGAGCAGAAGGAAGAATAAGAGACGCTAAGAGTTGGGGGCCAGACAGAAGTAAGGTTGGGAGAGTCCAGCACTACTCAGCGGCTTGCAGGAACAGGTCCGCAGACACGACCACGCCGGCGAGGATAGCCAATTAAAGAATTCTCTCTTGCCTAGTTCAAGGTGCAGGTCCAGCAACTCGGGTCGTCGCAATGCGGGTCCTCCGGTCTCTCTGGGGTAAAGCCACTGGTCTCATCGGATCGGGTAAGTAAAACTCAATTGAGTCTGGCCACCTCCGGTGAAGCTATCATAGACTCCAAATGCATGAAGTCCGCGTGGGTGCGAACTACCACTGGGCTACCTGTTCACAGACAGGCCTATCGGGAACAGCCATCGATACCGATACAGTCTTTGGACTGTAGGGTGCTGGTTAGAGGCAGTAGCACCCATCTGTAACGCAGCGTGGCCGGGGACAGGTCCGGATACAATTCCAGCTCAGCCTGCCTGTACTGGAGAGTATCGGCCTCCTTCCTTCTCTTGAAACACTTCCATACAACACACCACATCCCGCGGCGGTGCATCTGGGGGTCCCCTCGGATTTAGGGCAAGATGGGCTCAGACGAATGCCATAGGCAAGGTTGTGTCCCGGCGGAGCAAGTTGTTAAAGATCTCCTGTAGGATGGATTGTAGGTGTGCCGGGTCGGTTTCAACCTCGGGGAGGCCTCGCAGCCGCAAGTTGTTTCACCTACCCCGGTTGTCTGTCTTCCACATGTAGCGCCAGGCCTCGGAGGTAATCCGCATGCTGTGCCAAGTTGTCGCCTACTTGAATGTGGGCTGACCTGAGTTGGTCGCAGGTTGCCTCAATGCGTCCCACAAGGTCATTAAGGCCCTGAATGTCGTCCCGCAGCGCCTGGATGTCTGCCCGGATCGAGGCCTGTAAGGTCCTCCAAGGTTGGGGAGCACTCCTCCTGTGAGAAAGTTGGGGAGTTTGCTCCGGTGCCATCAGAGGCCTCTAATGACAGAGATTAGGAGGCCAATTCCAGCTGGATGGAGAGTTGTTGGTGCAAAGAGGGAGTAAAAGACCGCTTTTTGGGATCAGTGGTCCTCTGGGAGACTGAAGCTCTGTGATTTACACGAGGTGATTTACACGAGGTGGTGGAGGAGAAAAATGTTAAATAAGTTATCTGAATTGTGAAACCAAAACTGTTGCATATGCTTTGAATACTCTAATGTCCATCATTGGCAGTAAGTTAGAACAATGTGGGATAAACTGCACATTAAGACAGAGCATAAAGAAACCTTATAAGCATCTTGAGGTTCTTAAATCTGATGGGACAATGAAACTAGTTAAAAACTCTTTTTACTCACCAGATATCAGGAGACAGGTCCTATTTATTTATTAGCTCTGTGGGTTTTCATAAAATTCTGAAAACCAGATTTGCACAGTTATTTGTTTTTGGATTGTTGTTTTTTTTTGTTTGTTACATTTTATTGACTGTAACGGAACCGCTGGCACCCCGACCGGGTACCTTCCGCTGACTGATGCTCCTAGTGCTTTCCGAGGACTCCATGCACTCTGCCCGACACCATAACCACTTCAGGCCCCTCGAATCGCTGCAGCTTGGTTGGGGTCTCGCCGTCTCCACCCACTCCAGAAGGTCGAGCTCTCCGAATTCCAGAGAGCAGGAACAGGAACAAGCTCTTAGCAGAGCTTAGTGATTATACCCTGGGGAGTATAGTGATTATAGCAATCCCCAGAGTGTAGTTCTCCAATCCCCCAAACATGAGCCGAAACTTCATGAAGGTACAAGATAATCTTCCTTTTAATGACCACACACTGGCTTTTATGCAAGTCCCCATGCAAGGGGACATCCCACAGGGTGGGACACAGTACAACCAATCATTTACAGGAAAACTGTAGAACACACCCAGCACAAACATACAAAATCCTCCCCTCTGTCTGTGATATAATTATGGTACACAAAAGGTTAATGTAATTTATCACAGGCAGGAAAAATACAATTTTTATACATTTACTATAACTTTAAAAATATGCATCCAATCTTCATAAATAACATATTCAGAATCAGCACACTTTAAATATAAACACGCTCAAAAATCAGACAAATCCATCCAGTAGATAAAAAGTTAGATGGAAGTCCTTTATGACCGACCGCAAGCACATTTTCCTGCCCAAAACAGTTCCATAGATTTGGGCTGTGCGGCCGGTCAATTTTATGCAGAAAAATGACTACGTCCCATTCGAATGCACGAACGGGGCCGTTCGTGCATTTAGCTTAGTATAGCAGTAAGTTCAAACTGCCGAACGGGACTTAGTCTCTGTAGCTGAAAACGGAGTGTAGGAGAAGGTAAGGGTCAGCGGTGTTCGTTGAAATGTGTAGCCGATTTCAGTTCCATGAATTTGGCTACACATACCGCTGACCTCGTTCGAATGAACAAAGATGGCCGCCGCCACGTGTTCGTTTTCACGAACTGCAGTCGGCAATTTACCTACTGCAGGCTCCATACCTGGGAGGTAAATTGCCTGCACACTTCCACTTCTGGGTGGTCCGCCTGTGTGGTACTTGGTTCAGTAAGCTCCATTTACTGAACCAAGTGGGAGAAAGCCATAGACAAAGTATTTTAAAGGTCTGGGGACATAGTCTTAAAGCGGTATTGTCACACAAATTCTCAATATATCCCCAGACAGTTCTTAAAGGGCAAGCATGGTCCAATACAAGTCCATAAACCACACTGCAGTTCTCAAAGGGCCAGCAGCAGCATAATATAAATCCATTAGCCCAAATAATGTTTGTAAAGGGCCATACAACCCAGGGCCATAGTCATGAGGCAGGAGGCTGGCACTCAAGCTCCTCCAACAGCCAGGGGCAAAGGGCAGCTTGTCACCTAAAAATCCAGTGACAAAAGGCATTTTGTCACATTGACGAATGCCTTATATTAGTGTTTTTCATGCTAAACATAGTTTTTGATAATAATATTGTATAGTTATGTGTCGTATCCTATTCTTTTACAGCAATAGATTTGGAAACACAAATGCATCAGTGTTTTCTCAACTTTTTGCTGCTTTTTAATATATATGCCACAGAGGGAAACATTCAAGTGAGAAGAGCATGCGGTTTTATCGCAGGTCCAGTGCATTGCCCTTCAGTTTCCAGAGCTACTTCCAGTGTATATCTTCTCCCTAAATGGGTGCAAGACCAATCTGGTGTAGAGTTAGTCCACTGTCTTTGTTATTTTGAATCAGTAATTTAATTTCTCACCCTTGGTTGCCATCATACAGTAGCTAAACTGGAGCTACAGACTTCATTTTTCATTTATCAGCTGTTTGTTAATATATCAGAACAACTTTAAACACATTTATTTCTTGACTCACCAGAGATCCTAGTATCTACTCTGTTTTCCTTAATCTAGTCACTAGATATACTTTAATATCATCATCTACACTTGCTGCAGTGCCCAGTGGTAGGCAAGAAATTCAGATTCTGTCCTTCAGGTGAGCCGGCTACTACAGGAGATAGCTGCAGGATCAAAACAAAAAAAAACACGAAACTTCTAAAAGTGACTGACAGCCTGGGACATTCAATCTAGAGTGTGTACATTCTGCTGCATAAGCTTATAAAAGCATCTTGATAGAATGCAGCATGTTCTTTATGATTTTGTAGATGCATAGCATTAATATACGAACACAATGTTCTATAAAAGCATATACTTTCTTATTCAGAGCTTCATTATACAGAGCAGTATGTCCATTACTGTTATATAGATATTTATTTCACTGCCACGTATCAAGTGGCAAGATCAATATTAGTTTTATCATCGGTGCAAATTGTCCTTTCTTTAAACACAAGGCATCTGCTGCTATACAGAGGTGTGTGAGGTGGCATTGGCTGCTCAGTCATTATAAGGTACAGCATGATTGCTATCAGTCCATTGATACTGGTCACAACTGTACAATATTCGGGACACATATCTCTGATATCAGTAGAAAAACTGTCATTAAAACACTGCTGGAAGTAATATAGGTTTAATGAATGATACATGAAAGCATCTATTAAGTGCTATCTCCAAGTTGCTTATTGTTTAGTTTATTCATTTATTGTGATTGTAGTGAATTGAAAACAAAATTGCACAATTTGCGTTAAAGTAGTCAAACAAAATTCCACTAGCTCTTCCAGCTAATGCAGACGTGGCCATGGGAGTTGTAGTCTAAGAACAGCTGGAGGCTGAAGTTCCATCATGTTTTATGTTATGTATTCAGAAAGAGCAAGTCATTTGAGGGAGAAAAAGAGCGTGACTAGCGGGGTGAAGTCAAAGGGAATTGTGAAATCACACAGCAATTGTGACCACTAGTTTTCAATACCATCTGTTTAAAACATTAGTTCATAGGAATCCAAAACCTGGAACCATGAACATATTTAAATAAATGCTGACTCTGTCATGTTATGTTTGACAGGTTCCCTTTAATTGATAGCATAAGGGGTGTAACCAATTTGGGAAATACGGTCTGGGTGCTGGGCAGGGCCGGTGCAAGGATTTCTGCTGCTCTAGGCAAAGATCCATTTTGCCGCCCCTCATGTCACTCACTCACTCACTGACAGGCACACACTGGCAGACACACTCATTAACAGACACTCACTGACAGACATACACTTACTCACTGAAAGACACACACACAGACACTCATTGACAGACACACACACACACAGGCAGACACTCATTGACAGTCAAACACTCACACACTCAGTGACACACAGACTCACAAAATTTTATTTTTTGAGGCCCATCCAGCCTCCCTACCTCCCTTGGGGTCCAGCTCCTTACTCCTCCGCTCGCTGTTTAGTATGCCGGGGCCGTAATGACGTCATATTCCGGCTCCCAGTGTTACAGAGGGTGCACGAGGGAGGAGTGGGAAGTTGCAAGAACAGCCCTCGCCTCCTGTCTTCTCTTTCCTCCTCTCCTCTTGTGACCGGCATTTGTTGGCAGAGCAGGCACCTGCCATCAAGGTAAGCAGGTGCCTGCTCTGCCTTACCTAGCACAGCTTCAAGGGCGCCCTAAGGTAGCCAAATGGCCACCTCTTGGGCCCTCCGTGACATGGCTCCTCTGGGCGCCCCCAACCAGTGCTGCGGCCTAAGACAGGGGAAGCCCCCAGGAAACATCCCTGCCTATTGAATGCCTGGTTCACCTAATAGTTGTGCTGGCCCTGGTGCAGTGACTCATCATGATAACATTTTATACATTCCTTGTATTAGGTACAAATAGACTTACTTAATATAGGTGTGTGCTGTACGTTTTGTTTTTTTGAAGTGGTATGGTATGTCTTCTTGTATCCATGCAAGATCAATATATCTTACAAAGCAATGGATTGGATTACTGGATCCAAATCAATGAACAACACAATTCAGCAGAACTGATGATTTGACCGAGAAGAATATCTCCTGTAAAAAGAATTAAGAATATACTGTTTAAAAGAAATGCTTGAGGACTGACAATTAGTTACACCTGAGGCATCAGCACATTGTTCCTTCCTTTGAACACGCTGGAGACATGAGGGGAAAAAATCTCTGTCCATAGCAAAAAAAATATTACGTCCCCTAATTTTTATCATCAATGTGAGCAATGAAATGAGTGCATGGCTATGCAGATGTGTTTATATTAAATAAATATACTTAGCTAAGGACATTTCTTAATTAGACTTCTGCCAGTTCCAGGCTGTATCTTACAAGAATTGTCCTGTAGCCCTACTTATTCATGCAGTGTATGCTGTATGTCAACATATCACTCCTGCTGACTATAGTCTTAACTTCATCCTACACATTCAACATATACCAGCTACAAAACTCCTAAAAAGTGCTGAAAAATAGCATGTCCACCATTAGTGTGTTATATACACAGTAAGTGAATAGTAAATACAAAAATACAGTATAAAATCTTGCAAGGATACTTAATGGGACACTACAGAACCCTAAGGCAGTTTAGCTTAAT